AAAGGCGTGTGGGTGCTTCTTTTGTCCAGTCATTGCCTGATATAAGGAAAACCCATGTGTGGGAGAGTTGGGTTGAAATCAATTGTTCTGGAAAATATAATCACTTTTCAGTGGAACATCCATTGCAACATTTGTGCCAAGCTAATAGCGATAGAAACAACCTAACCTTTTGTACAGGCTTTCTGTTGTTCCCCTTTGCAGAAAAATGACTGCTGCTTCTTTAAGTCATGGGACTTCATGTTTGCTGTGACAGCTTTCCAATTGTTAAATAAACTCTGACCAGGAGCAGCTGTCAGGCAGATATTGCACTGCAGGCTTCACTTCAAAGCAGTACCAGACAAGCGTTTCAGTGCCCAGAGGCTCTTTCATTTTTTTTAAGGGACACATGTTTTAAGAAAATGCTATGAGATAATATGATCCCTTATTAATAACAACAACAACAACAACAAAAGTTGCCTTTAAATTATGTTTTGGGTTGTAATTGTTTGTAGTTCAGAAAAGCAGTCTAGGAGAAACATGAAATATCTACAATGTATGCTACAAAGAGACTTTTGTCTGGTGCCAAGATGGGAGAAGTGAGACACAGCAATAAAGATGTTAGACCTTAAAGTAATACTAATGATTTTACTTAAATTCTTGTTGGAAGGTAGAGTAAATATACAAAGCTTCCTCAGAATTTTAGAATGTCATTTTATTATTTGTGTCTCTGACAGTGAGATAGCAAAAAAACCGTTCTAAATTATTAACCTTTGTTATGTTGTATCCTGTTGTACTAGCTACTGTCCAAACTGAGTGAGAAAAAGAAAATTTGTGCTAGAGAAAGTACATTAGGGAAAGATGTATACATGACAAAAAAAAAAAAAAAAAAAGTCTTTTGAGGTAAATGTATAGTCAAGATTAGAAGAACCACTCTTAATTAGGTTTTGATTACAGAAGGGGAGGGAATTTGACATTAAATTATAATGCAGGTGGACTTCTTCCTATTCCATCAAACCTAATACTATCTGACATAACCTGCATAAAAGCTGAGCATGTAGCCTAGTTCTATTGGGGATCCTTGACCAAGAAGTCAAGATGTCTAGGGCTCCAGTAGAAGTAAAGGAGTGGCTCCGGAGATGCCTTTTTCCACTGTCTGTAGCACAAGAACCTTGTTCAAAAGAAAAACAAGTTAAAGAAAAAGGAGAAATCAAACACCAGCCTAGGCAACCATTGTATAAGCAATATGAATCCTGGGCTAACTATGTGGAGGCTGAAAGTTTAGAGGAGACATAAGAAGTATTTACTTAAAGCATATTTTTGCCATTTAAAGAGGAAAGTGTTCTCTATTTTGTATGTGAATAATAGAAACAATAAGCAATAATAAGCAGTTCATGATTTTAAGAGTGACTTCATGCAGTACTTCAAGGTTAACTAATTAATATGTTTTCTCACCATTCCAGTTTCCTTTCAGGGACAAAGAAGAAAATACCCTTTAAAAACCATAGCAATGGGAAATGGAAATAGTCAATTTAAAAATCAATCCTCTCTGACTTTTTTCTATCCAACCTTCTTAGAAATAACACTGAGAATCTTTTTGGATCACTGTGTTCAATTATTTATTTTATGGTTTTGAAAATGCTTTTGGCTAGTGGGTTTCACTTTTTCACTTTTTATATATCTCATTCTCTGAAACAGAAAAAAAAAAAATCAAAGCAGTAGATATATGCAATTTTTTTCTTTTGTTCACTCTTATGCTTATGAGTTCATACTGTTCCACAGATACATTAATTTATTTTATACCTGATCTGGAAATAAAAGCATGGAAAGTAAAATTTAGGAGTACTAGCATAAAGATGGAATCAATCAGATCCTAAATCCAAATATGCATCATTTCCATGTTGCCTTGTTAGAGATACAGAGATATATGTGAATGAGCAGAGAGATAAAGCAGTAAGAGTACTCGTGGTGATACAGTCAAGGACAAAAATAAATACCGATCGTGTCTCTACTGACACATTGCACCTATTAACCTTTGCTGAACCTTCACAGAAAAGCATCAACATTAACCTGATGGGGTATTCTTGTTATCTGGTTTGGAGAGAGGTAGCAAATAGACTAAGTGTTGAAGCATACATGCACAAAAGAATGGGAAAACAGTCTAAAGTTTAGCATAAAAGGTAGGTAGGAGAAAATTCTTACTCCACTTATGAGATGTTGCTATGTCTGTTAGTTGTATGTAGGGTAGCTTTTGTTCTAAGATTTCTCATTATTGTCATTGAAGCTCCACTAGCACACAATAACCCTGAGGGTGGGTTCATACATGAACATTTTCCTATCATGTTCCTTAACCTTTATGTTTTCAAATGAAGAGGAGTGTCAATAAAAAAAATAAAATACAGGCATTTTATCTTGACATTCTGTGCTAGAAATCAGTCTTCACCATTTGCAGGACCAACGGCTCTAGTTGAGTACTTGTCTGAAACACAATCACACTAAATTCAAGTTGAAAATTACAGGGCTTAAGCAACTAATCCAGTTTTGACTAAGGGAGCAGAAAGGCAAGTTGTTGGCTTTGTGATGGGTGGTTTTTGTCAGCATTTGTAAATGTGGAGTGCCACTCTAATACTTCCCGGGTCTATGGAATTAACCATTAAAAACAAGAAGATAATGTGTTTGTGTTTGCAAGTATTGGGTATATCAAACATTATGTTAATATGAAGGGTTATGATGGCAGTCTAAGGGATGAAGTAATGTTCAATAGCTTGAACAGGGAGATATAAATCGCTGTGTAGCTCTTCTGCTCTGTACACAGTCAGCAAAAGTATTAAATCCTCACACTATGAGCTGTGAATAAATGATATTATCATTAATGGCTATAACTAGCAAAAAACCTTTTGGAGTGTTTTCTGTTATAACACTGATAATGAAAATGTCTGAGAAGATTTTAAAGGACAGACAGTCCTTTGAAAAGTTTCTAACCTATAGAAACTAGAACAATTTTCTGTGATGAACAAGACTAGTGAAATAACTTCAGTTGTAACGTTCTTAAATCAGTTATGAATCCAGTGGGAAAATAATGGAAGTGCATTGGAGACAGAGTAAAATCACTGATATTTTTCCAAGATTTTGAAGGGAAAAATAAAAGATAAAGCACAATAGAAAATAAAAGATACAACACAGCAGATGAGAGTACCTAACAATCCAAGAGAGTAGCTGGAGATAGAAGATGAAATCAGCAGTGTCACAGGTGGAAGCCATGGTTAATGAGAAACCATGGTAACAATTTGCCAGTTACTTAAGCATTTTTTGTGAAGAATGCTGAGTCATATATGTAAGGCTCTCTTCTGAATTGCATGAAATCAGAGTTCAGTTTCTGCTACAGACTTTTTGTGTAAAGGCCTTGAAAATGCTTTGAACTAAAACTTCAAAAAGTGGTTGTTTACTTTGTCAGAGCATTCTGCTTGTGGTCTGTCAAAATACAATTTAAGAAAGACTGTACATTGATTAGGAAGCCACCTAATACTGACTGGGAAGAGGGATTTGTCATAAATCTGGCACTTTGTCAAACTCATGCCTTTCTGTCTATGTAGTTCCTGTTCTAGCTGTGCAGACATTATTTCAGGCTGCTTCACATTAGAAATCAGTCCCAAATCTTCTTTTCATAGAATCATATAATCTTTTGAGTTGGAAGAGACCCTTAAAGGCAGTCTAGTCCAGCCTCCTGTAGTGAATAGGAACATGTGCAGCTAGATCAAGGTACAAAGAGCCTGGTCCAGCCTGGGTTTGCATGTCTCCAAGAACAGGGTCTACCACCTCTCTGGGCTACCAGCTCCAGAGTTTTACTACACTTACTGAAAAAAAACCAAAACCTTTCTCCTTCTATCCAATCATCCAATCAAACTGGACATTTGGATGACTGATGTCTTTCTTCTGTAGCATGAAGAAGTATCCCTTAATAAAATTTTGAAGTCACAGGTCCATGATAGTGTCTGTACGCTTTTAAGATAAGGACTGTTGTTTAATGCAAAATGTATCGATGGTAGAAGGAAGCAGCTAAAACCTCCATATTCTTTCTTACTTTTACAAATTTTCCATATTGAAGCAAAAATGGAGTCTAACTTTTTCATCTCTTTCCTACTTTCATAATCTTAGCTGTCATTCCCCACGTATCACAATAAGGCTAGGAAATGGCTAGGATAAATATCTCTTCAAGGTTTCAGAGCACAGAGCTATAATAATGACAGGGATGATACAATAGATGAGTTGGTGACCAGTTTTTCTCACTAGGCAGCCTAGTCCACCTTCTTCTGTCACTGGAATAAGCATAGGTCTCACTGAAATAAACTTGTGCCATGGCTCTTTTCCTGCTGCAAAAACCTGACAGGGCATATGAACATGAAAACTGTATTGGATCCAACGCTTCCACAAAGAGGCAGATTTACTGGGCTTAGGGAGTGAAGCGGGCACAGCAAGAGAAGCAGCCAGGAGTAGGTTCCCCTTGCCAGAACAACTCATGCCACCTACGCTGGCTGCAGCCCATCCTGCTGCTTCTGTGGAGCATCCAGAGAGAAGCTTCAGGCCAGAAGATTTACTCTTGTTTGTCAGCCAGCTGTTGCTGTTTCTCTTTGCTTGTGCTCTTTGTTAGGAGAGGGACCTCAAAACCATCCAGAAAGATCTTTCCGTGAGTGAGCTGCAAGCCAGGTTGTCCTAGGGAATACATTTTTATGCAATAATATCAACGTATTCTGCCTCTTTGCCCTTTTCTTGTTATATATAATTGCATACAACTTCTTCACATGTTAGACTACTGAAAAGGTAAGGTCTTGCTAAGAGGGGGAGAAAAGAAAAATAGAGATCGTATCTGAAGCAGATTCACAGCTGTATCAGGTGGAATTTAGTGTCAGTCTGTCACCTGAAAATTCATCTGCTAGCTTTTTTTGTGTGTGTTTGTGATCTTCATAGATATTTGCATTGAACTGATTGAACTTCTCTTATTTCTTTTTTTATTATTATTTCTGTAGGATAAAATCATGGGTAGATAAGATGCAAGAAGACCTCATAACATTGGCACGAACTGCGAGTGGAGTGGAACAGCTTGCTGCGGTGAGTTGGAAAATGTGCCTGACAGTGCACACCATTCATTGCACTCTCTAGCCATTACAACAATTTTAATCCCAACACAGCAAAAAGATTTTAAGTTAAACTCTGCAATGTTTCTCTTCTACAGTCCTTACTGAGAGAGAAATGAATAACTTTTACATCCACCAATTCACTCTTTTTGTGTTGCAGCACTTGCTCGTTGCTAATATTCAATCAGCTTTGCAGAAGTAGGGCTTAACATTATTGCAACGCTCCCACCTGAAGCAAGTGCTGTTATATGTTTGTCAGATATGGTATCCAGGAAGTAACCATTCACAGTAAAAGAACATTCTGTTCTGCATTAATACAGGAAATCATTTTTTTTTTACATATATTCACTGCATTGAGGCAGCCTTTGGTTATAATAAACACAGATGAGAATGGAAGTTATATTCAGCCATTTGAATTTAATCTGAAGTGTGTTTTAGGAATTAACATAATTATTGCATCATTGAAAATTTATATTATTTTGTTATATTTCTTTCATAGAGTCTAAAAACATATTCTGAGATGGCAGAACAATGAATTCACAATTCAGAATCTGTCAGGATTAGGCTGTGTAGATAACTGTGTGTGTATATCATTATCCAGTATGCATCCACAAGTTCATATATTCCCCCTTCTTTATCCTTGTTATTCCTGACAAAGGAAAGGCTGTGGCAGTGTTTGTATACGAGGAGCATTAATGAAGGTTGCAGAGATTATTTTAGTTCTGGCTTTCCTAATATGAGAGTACTTGCTATTGCAGCAAAATTTAAGACAGATACTTCAGATGCAGTTTATAATCTTTGAAACAACAAAAAAACCCCACAAAATCTTGACTGAAAACAGTATCTTGAAATCCTATCACAAGGCATCAGACTGATACATACATGGGTTTCCAGCACAGGATCTCAACAACGCAGAAATGTCTATCACTTGAGTTTTCTTGACAAACTGGTAAAGTTATTCTAGCATGGAATGCCAATGGGAGTTTTTGTAGGTGGATTTCACACATATCTGCTGACAAAGGACAACAAGGCTTGTGTATCATGTCTCTCTCTTCAGCTTTGTGGTGAGGAGTTTCTGTTAAGATCTCTTTTGTTCATCATACCCCCTCCATGCTTGCTGTGTCTTTCTCCCCGTGTGGTGGTTTCACGTGAACTTCACTGTGCTGCTTTATCACTCCTCCTTCTCAAAAGGACAAGGGGAGAAAAATGATGGAAAGAAATGACCTTGTGCATTGAGCTATGAACAGGGAGAACACTCACCAATTACCCAATTACTGTCACAGGCAAAACAGACTCAGCATAATGTAAGTTAATATAATTTATTACCTATTGCTAACAGACTAGATCACTGAGAACTAAAAGCAAACTAAAAGCAACCTCTTGCCCCTGTACTGCTATAGTCCATCGTTTTCTTCCTCTTCTCTCAAGCACTGCAAAGGAATGTAGAATGAGGGCTGCAGTCAGTCCATAATGCTTCATCTCTGCCATTCCTCCATGGTCACCCTCTGTCCCAGACCCAACATGGGGTCTTTCCCATGGGATGCCATGCTTCCTGAAATGACCCCATGTGGAGCCACAGCTTCCCAAGCACTGCTCCAAAATAGGGCCATACCATGGAGCCCACACTTCAGGCACCACTCCAGCATTTTCCTCATGGACTCCCCCAGCCCTCCTGCCCCACTGCGGACTTCTCCCCATGGACTGCAGCTCCAGCCTGGAATTGCTCCTGTGGGTAATCTCCATGGGCTGTGCCTCCTTCAAGCTACATTCACTGCTGCACTGTGAGTTCCTCCATGGCTGCATGCGGAGATCTGCTCCAAGTGGTGCCTATGGACTGGAGGGAACAGCCTGCTCCATCATAGGCCTCTAGTAGGCTGCAGGAAACTACCGTTCCCTGCCTGGAGCACCTCCTGCCCTCCTGCACTGACTTGGGGCCCTGCAGTTCCATTTCCCTCTTTTCACACTCCTCTCTCCCAGCTGCTGTTGCACAACATTTTTCTTTACTTTCTTAAATGTGTTATCAATGAGGCAGAGCTAACATTGGTTGTGGCTCATCTCTGCCCAGTGGAGGGTCCCTTTAGGAGCAGTTGGATCTGGCTCTGATCTTTCATGGCACAAACTATGCTCACAGAGGCTACCCTTGCTGCCCCCAAACTACCAAAATCTTGCCACACATACCTAATACACTCCACTATCCTGTCTTCAGCTTCATATACCTGACTCACCACTGGACTTTCCATTCCATTCCTATTATGCTGGTTGGGTCATCTTCCTTGTCTTCTCAGTACATGTTTGTGTCTCAGTTTTCTCTTTTTCTGCATAGCCTGTCTGCCTTTCTCATTTACATTGCCTTCTTATCCCAATTTTAGGATCTCTGTCCTAAGCTTTTTCCAGTTCAGCATTTCATTTTGGACTCTTTTTTGCCTTACATTTTCAAAACTTTCTGTCCAAGTGTGTTTGGCCAGCCTGCCCATTACTATTATTGCATCTCTATTTTTTTCAGCTTTCCCTCCATCACTAGTTCACAGATTCAGACTTGTTGTTTTCTCCTGTGTTCTAGTACTACTTTTCCTCTCTTTTCGAGTCTCTTCTCTCCTTATTCTTTGCCTACCAATTTCTAGTCTGTTGCCTTCTATCTCTCTATACCAATCTTTTATCCTTTATTCCTCATTCAGTTTTCATCGCTTCTTTCTCCCACTGGTTGAAGCACAGGAGTGATTTAGAAATCTCTGGAGAGACCACATTAAGTGTGCATTCTAGCTGCAGAGGAAGTATGACATTCTGTAGGGAATGATGCTATCTGGGTTGCAATACGTCTGCATGTTGGATCTTTTGAATTTAAGTGATAAATCTCTGCAGTGGGATGTAGTTGTTTTTCAGACTAAAATTCAATAAACAATAAGGAGTAAAAAGTGTATCTTTGAAAGACACATGTTAAATCTTTAACCAACAGTGAAGAGGCAATAAGATATTTCAAATATAAATAGTTTACAGAAGATTTCTAATTTGAGCCAATGAATTAACGGCCTAACCATTTTGCCTGGCATTTCTGTGCAAATAAAGGACAGTAAAATAGATTATGAAAAACCAAGAGATTTACATTATGACTCTTACCCCCCTCCCCCCCCCCCTTACCCCCCTAGGGAAAGTGTTATTTACTTAAAATTCTTCAAATGTGTGAGCTGCTAAATCAATCCTCTCATAAAAATTGCTGGACAAAAATATGTAACATCACTAGCTATACTTACACTACACCATAGTGACATTCGACATTATCTTTGAATACTGTAGGTAAGTTGTTTTTTGAAAGACAGAATTTGTAGCATAGTTCAAGAAAATCATAAATTATCTCAGATCATATTGATACAGTGGTCAATATTTGTGTGTAATCTTAGGATTAAAAGCACAAAAGGGGGATGTTTCAGTGTAAAATGTCCCTCTGTGGCAAAGCCATTTGTTTGACCTAAATTGCGTGATGTCTTTCACTAGCCAAAAGTTGTTTTTAATTAGCTCTCTTCTCTATGAGGGGGAATGCAGTTCTCTCTCCCTCTTTTTTGCAGGCAATTCTCACTTTCACATTTTTGAATGACATCATTTCTATTCTGCTCACTGCCTATGAATGTTTAGTTAGTTCTCCTCTGAAATGAACCACAGTCTTACCAAAATGGAGATTACAAGACATTAAAAACAGTGTGCTTTCATGCCTGTCACTTCCATTCACAGAACTTGCCTTCAGTTGCTCAAGCTTAAAATATGCTTAACCGTTAAGCTGAATTTTCAGCTTTGATTCTGGCTCATTATTTTTACTAACTCCAGAATTCTTTGGACTAAGCCTATAGTCTTCATGTTTTTGGAAAATTTAAAAAAAGTTTGCTTGTTTGCTTATTTGTTTGTTTACCCTCCTCCCGCAAAGCAGGATGTCTGATACAAAGGCAAGGAACACAATTCTTCTGCTACAAAAGAGTAGACACAACTTTCTGTGTACAGCTGTACCAGTGTGTGTAAGGGTAGAAAGCTATTCTTTGGTCAGGCATGTAGGAAGGAGAAATATCTTTCCTTACTCTAGGGAAAATTAGTTTTGATTTGGCCAAGTGATGAAGTCATAGCAAGGATATTTAACAGATTTGTATCATAACAGTTTTATAGCTTACTCCCTGGACTGAGTTAAAGAAGTCCCACTGATGTAGGTGAAGTTTGTGTTTGTGTCATACAATAGGATCTTCTACGAAGATAGACAACTTTCAAAGTAGTATACTCACCACATTCTCAGCTCATGTGAATTATTTCTTCATTTACTCAGGACCTTTTCAGTTAATTCCATCCTATTTTATGGTGTTTCCATAACTTACTGAAGATGTCTCAGGATTAACTGGTGCTAAACATGCTTGTATTTGGGAATTTATTTACTGAATTGCTTCAGTAGTGACTATTTCTGAAATGTTCATTCTAATGAATATTTCACACACTCTCTTGTTTGCAGTGTGACAGCAATACCTGTAGTAAGCAAAATTGCAAAAAAACTTGGATTCCAGTGAAAAAGAAGTCCTGAATTGAGATTGCACTTATTCATAGTCTTAAACAAACCAATGAGTATAGCTAGAGTAGAAGGAACAGACAAAATGGATGTGTAGGAGATGGAGAAGCAGGTGAGAGTCGAGACATAAGCCTTAATTTAGTAATGCTCCTTTACTCACTAAATCATTGTAGCCATGCAAAGAATCCAGATCCAAACAAGAACTGAGCTCAGATTTTCATTTAACTCTGAAGCTTTAACAGCAGATGATTCCACCTCTGAATTTGTTGTGGTAGATTGTAAGTGATGATATGTACACAAATACTAGTGACTTCAGTATGTGAGCTTTTGATCAGGAAGATTGTTGGTGTTTAAAATGTAGTTCTTGCTTGTGTTGATCAAGTTTTATTTATAATATATGGAAATAGTCTCCATAGAGTCTTCAAAAAATGTTCTTACAT